TAAGATATAAACACACCAGCAGTGTACATGAGGACAGTCAAGAATCCTACTTCACTTAATTTTTCAAAAATGTGGATTTTTTAGAGCTGAACATATTGGGGGAAAATGTACTATAAATATCGTAGTATAAGTCTTACCCTGCCAGGGAAGAAGGCGCTGTTCTTGAACTTCCGCAGGTAGAAGGCGATGAAGAAGGTCCCGGACATCAGCACCAGGGACAGCAACGCCGTGTTGGGCTCCCCTGTCATCTTGAATCTCTTTGTAGAAGCGGCAGAGCTGTTCCCCATCCCGCTGCTGGAGAGCTCTGACCACAGCCCTTCTGTCCTGTTGTCTGCTGTGCTGTTCTCCAGGGAGCAGCGCCGCAGTGGGTGCTCCTGGAATATCTGCAGACAAGAAGACAATGGTTTGAGATTAACGCCACAAATAAAACAAAGGACCTTTAAAAGATTGTGTTTATACTAATTTAGGCCACTAGAGGGACAATCCAGAGATGGTGAGAGAGAGCTAAATATTTGCACCAGGTCATGAGAGGAATCAACTCCAGCTGACTGCAATATGATTTCTTAATGAAGTTCCAACACTCGACAGGCAACTGTAGTGGAAAAGGTTAAAGTCTTCTGGAGAGAAAGAATCACCACAGCTGCTGTTGTGTCAGGGGTGTTAAAACAGCTTGCTGTCCCTAACCAAACAGGATCAGCTGGTAGAACAGGGTTCAGACTTATAGGCTCCGGTAGGCTGTTCTGGACTGGTTCGGTATCTCTGTAAAGGGCTTCCCCACAGTTTCCTCCCTCAAACCAAACCCACAAGACACTGTCTCCCCATCTTATTCCTATACATTACTTATTCTGAGTCAAACATTCACACCAAAACACCTCCCAACACAGTCCAAATGGGCCATTTTTCCCCTCTTTCCCTTCCCCACGGCTCCCGCCCTGACCTTGGCCAACTTGGAGAAGGTTTCGTAGATGAAGATGAGGGAGATGAGGAAGGCGAAGATCTCCTGGGTGAAGCGCGACACAAAACGCACCAGGAAGCTGCCCTCAAAGGCCACAATGATGAGCACAATCAGGATCAGCCAGAACCCGATCCACACCCGGCCCGTGAGGTACTCCATCTCATTTGCGCTGCAGAACTAGAGGGGACAGGCACACAGCCAAACCACACAGTCAGAAAGAGCTGTGCGCACAATTCAAGGCAGAGAAAGGAAGGATTTACAGAGGTCTGGTATCACTAGGAAACATTCAGTGCTTATTAAACAAATAGTATAATTCACTTATATTTTAACATTTGTAAACCCTGTAGAACCCTTGGGATAATGCCAGTCAAGGGAATTAGTACTGCTGACATAATAGTGCTTCTGTTGCTACTACACAAAAATGTATCAGTAAAACATTAGTCACGCAGAGCTTTGCTTTAATAAAATGTTCAGTTCATTTAATTACCTATTGTATGTAAACACAGGTTAGTATTGTGTATTTCACACTCCTAATCTCACTTGTGCAGGTGCTTTTTATTCCATACATAATTTCTTAAATTACATACCCAAAGAGGGGCCTTTTGTGACAAACTGGAGGAAAAAGTACACAGAAAATCTCTTTAATTCTCAGACAACTAGCAGAGCAGCAGATTGCCACCTGTGTGTGTTCACTCCTGGTCCTGGATCTCAGTGAGTGAAGAACAAGGAAACTGCTGGGATTATTATTGAGTCAATGCTGGGTGCTGTGATGGGTGCAATGATGAAAGCTAGCGGCTTTTCAGGTCCAGCAGTGAGGACCGCTGGGGTGGAAGAGGGACTCACAGAATAGAAGGCCTCCTCAAAGACCAGCAGGGGGCCAGAGAAGCCCACCACCAGCAGCGGTTGAGCCCCCAGCAGACAGAACAGCAAGCCCTGCAGGGCTGTGGCCACAATGAGCTCCGACACACCAATCAGCCCATCTGTCTTCTCTCCTGCACAGAGGAACACAGAGACAGTCACTCACCTGCCCATACACACCCTTTGGCAGCTCTATAGTTAGTGTTTCCCAGCTAACATTCTGGGATTCCACCCTAACAACTGTGAGGACAACAGGACATTGCCCACAGCTGTCTACGTCAACATCAAGCTAGCTGCCATCTTGCCTGAACCTGCCATCCTCATGCCACTAACATTCTCGGGGACTAGCAAAACAGAGTTATTATAATCTGGAAGAAATCAGAATTAAGGGCGGTCACTAAACGTCCAAAACCCTCTCATCCCCAGCTTTCCACTATCATATCTCACACTTCCTTACTCAACATTCTCCTCAAATAGTCTCTCCCATCTTGTTCATCCCCCAAGTCCAACCATTCTCATCTGTGCACACACAGGGCTCCCTATGCTGACCAGACTTCCTCTGCTGCCCTCGCCTTCACCATCCCAACAACCCGGTCCTCTTTCATGCTTTCACTCCAACACCTTATCTTCCTCCTCACCCAGCAGGCCCCCAAAAGTGATGGCGGGGGAGAGCGCAGCGAAGTAAATGAAGACGATGGCCGCCATGCACTGGGCGTTTAGCGCGTCCTTGAAGTCGCTGGCATATTTCGGGTAACGGCGGCAGGCATCCCGGATCAGTCCGCCGAAGGGGCGCCCGGTCCGCTGCAGGGGGTCATCGCCCGGCTTGAAGGGGGTAAGAAGCGCCTCTGTGTGATGGACAGTGGGAGGAAGACCGAGGGAGAGCAGGATTGACAAAGAGGGGGAAGAGGAGATTGAAAGAGGGGTGGAGAGTAGAGGAGGGGAGTGAGGTATAAAGAAGAAGAGGAAAGTTAGACAAAGAAACGTGGCACTTGTTTTTCAACAAGAGCCTGGGCAGCCCTTCCTGGCCAGGACAAGGTGAGGTTTTAAATAGCAGGGCCAGCACTGAAAGTGTTCTTAACTGACTGTCACTGAATAACAGGAATCAGGAACCAAGGGGATTAGCACTACTACATCAGCCAAGAGAACCTAAAACAAATATCACTAAAACATACTATCATAATAGTTCCCTCGCAGGAATAAAGCAAACAGAAAAATCTACTTGCCTATGGGCATCTCAGTCAAATTATCAATTTTTTATTTCAAGATCTTTAAAATCACTTTCATATTGGTTATATTTTTTCACATTTTTTCCACAATAGTTAGAAAACAGATGCTCCCAACTTGGCAAATCGACTGAAAAGAGTGAGAACAGGTTCTGGAGAAGATGACATGCCATACCTTTCTCCTCAGGGGTCTTGGGCTCTTTGGCTAACAGTTTGACCTCTTGCTCCTCCCTCTTGCGCAGCATCTCCCTCTGGAAGCGAGCCACGGAGCGCAGCAGCTCATCGCCGCCCACCTCCGAGGGCGGCAGCACGATGCTGCAGTCCAGGAACTCGTTGATGGCATTCAGCAGGTCCTGGCGGTCATCTGCCAGATAGGCGGCTTCGTGGAAGTGCTGAACAGGGGAGCAACACAAACAATTCCAGTCAAAAACTCAGAGGCCAAGCCAATATACTCTTTAAACACCCATAAGCCTATTTTCCCCCCACCCACACACCTGCTCCACAGGGCAAACCCATCCTAATATTCTCCTCAGTTCCACACAAACGTATTGGTTATGGAATCAGTAACCAATGTGAAAATGTGTAGTGGATATAAAATTCATTTAACCAGGTTAAATTAAGGTTTTCAAGTATATTAAAATTTTCCACACGGATGTTTGCGTTAAGAAAACAATAGTCCAGTATATTCAGGGTGATGTATGAAAATGCTGAACCCCTGGTTGCCTATAATTATGGTTGGCATGACTGCAAGAGGAGACCTCAGTGACTTTGAAAGAGGGGTAATTACTGGGGCTCTTTTGGCAAGAACTTCAGTGACCAGGACAGCTCAATGTGCTGATGTTTGAGAAGCAACAATGTCTCAGGGGATACATCTTTCTCCGAGCTGTATACTGACATCACCAGCAAAGAGCAGCAGTGAGTGGCAGTACATCTCCACGCAGTATGTTCAGAGGACTCATAATTCATATTCTTGAAGAAAGAACAAGTGCTAGTGGCACCAAAGTTAAGAATTTTATAGCCCTGAATGTTTGATTCCAACAGTAAAGGGTGCAATGGATGAACTTGTTGCAAGTACATTTCCCATGGGTTGAGTGGACACATTTCTTTCGAAGGCTAGGTCAATTCCAATCATTACATAATGGCATTTAGATATGAACTTTACCCATGTTGTAGCATTTCGTTCCTGCCTGCAGGAGTGTCTTTCAGAATGACAAAAAACTCAACAGAGCTCTTATGGGACTGTCTGTAACAGTGCCCGAGACAGTTTTCCTCCCACATCACAGTTTTGAGGTGATTGAGTTGATGCTTAGAGACTATGCCATATCATAAATAAAGCATGCTGTCCGCACGTGATTGCCTTATTAAGTGGCACTGGCACTGCCATTTTATTGTACATCCATAAGGGTGGGAACCGTATCTTGCAGCCTGTAGATCTCCCTCTCTCATCCCACTGCCTCTGCTACCTCTCTGCTCACCTTGTCGGACATCAGTGTGGAGATGGAGCGGCCAATCTGGTGGTAGTCCATGTTGGTGCAGTCTGGTCCCAGCAGAATGAAGAGGAATCGAACTGGAACGGGTACCTCCAGGACCGATTCCAACTGTACTGCCTCCTGCAGGCGTACAAATGCCATGGTGGGCTGCTCCAGGAAGTCCACACTGCCTACAGGGGGCGATGATTCATGGTCAGTACGTCAGTGTTTGCTACGTCGCTCTGGCAGCAGAGCGAGAGACACTCTTCTTTCTCTTAAAAAAAGAGAGAGCTCACTAAACAAAGCAAACTGTTAAGTCATAAATGTAACTTTTCTTTTTGAATACCTGGATAATCTCCTCTTTTAGTCTTATCATTCTGAGTTCCTTTAGCTTGTCAGTGTAGGTCATTCCCTTAAACCCTGAACTGTATCTGGTTGCTCTTCTCTGGACAGATTCTGGAGAAGCAAGATTTTCTACAACATAGTTCCCAAAACTTACATATTTTAAATGAGGCTTAACTAGTGCCTTACACATCAACTGATTTAAATCCTACACTTTTAACAATATATCCTAAATTTCTGTTATACCCTTTCCTTCCCTACATTACCTGGAAGATGAGTTAACGCAAACACCTACACTTGTCTACATTAAACATCACCTGCGTGGCATTTACCTTGTCTTGAATTTTATCTGAATATTTTTAAAATTTCTACACTGCTTCTACAATCTTTGCCAGTCCTCTTACTTTGGAGGCATCTTCAAACTTGACTAGTTTAAAAGCTATACCACAATCTAAATTACTGACACCAAGGGAGCCTTCACCCTTTATCTGTACTGTCCATTAAGCTCTCAATCCACATACATTTCCATGAATACCTACTGCCAGTTATCTCAGAATTAATCTCTCACGAAGAACTTTACCAAATATCATTCTGAAAATCTAATTACACCACATTGTACACCCTGAGTGAGCCCACTACTGCTGTTACTCCATCAAAGAGATGACACAGCTCTTCACTTGAATCTCACTTCTCACATTTCTCCCCCTTAAGACTGGAACGGACACCAAGTATGCATAAAAGGTAACAATCAAATGAATGATATAGTTGTATCAAATGGCTTATACTGAGTATGTCTGCACTGACAATTTCTGAGCAGGACTCTCGTTATAATTATCTCTGCATGTAGCGTACACACCCATATAGAAAGAAGCACTCCATTATGTTGTGCACATGACCTAAGTACTGTACAAGTTTCTGCAGACTTGTCTCGGGAGATTATTTTGACTCCCCTGTAGTAGATGGACTCACCCACAAGTACCACTGTAGCCTCTGCGTTCTCAGGGATCTTCTCCAACAGCTTCAGCTCATGTTTCGACTTTGACCGGTGCATGCCCACTGACGGGGGGGCCTCTTTCTGCAACAGCAAAGAAAGCACATAGCCTCCACCACGTTTCGCTAGGTCTATGATATCCACAGGGCCGCATTACAAAACATAAGAAATATGAAATACAGCCTTCCCTCGCCGATACCAGAATACTCCATGCCAACCATGGGAAAACCTTGCTCTTACACGGTTCTCCAGGTGGAATGCCATTCTTTTGCTATTATTTATTATTCATAACAATTTAATTACAATGTTTTATTACTTTGATAAATTTAATCTAAGTCACATTATGGTATCTGGAATTTTTAAAAGAAATCTGCAAGTTTTGTTAGCCATGTTTTGTTAGTGTAACAGAAACTGTGGGAAACTAAGCCCCTATTTTGCTCGTACACAGGTTTTTACCATCCAACCACAATGTTTTCTGGAATGTAACTCCCACGATTAGTTAGAGAAGGCTGTTCACTCAAGATTAAAGTACAGCTCCTGAAAAAGAAAAACACAAAAGCAACAATTTAGCCATCCTGACCTCCATCTTCTCGATGTCGATGCGAGTGTCCGACTCGGAGCCTGCGCTGCCTCCCATGAGGGGGTCTGTGATGGAGGGCTCTGCAGGCTGGGCGATGTGGTTGGAACTGTGGTGGTGGACCAGCAGAGAGCCAAGGCTGGCTGCCGAGATATTCCTAGGAAAGGTGTGCTCTTTCTCATCACTCGGATGACTGAAGGAGAGAGAAAAAAAAGGGAGAGAAAGTGAGAGGGAGAGAAACGGAGCTTGAGGCCGAAAGCGAATGAATGGAGTGAATAACGGAGACAGCCAGGGACATTAACAGTGCAAAACAATTGGAGAGATGCAAAGTGTGATACACGAACACAGAGAGGCAGATCTAAAGAGGGGAACATTAGAAGGAGAAAAGAGAAATGAGGCGTGGGATGACATTAAGTACTTTTTGATCAAGAGCAACCACATTCCATTAAAAAACTTCAACGCAACTTTCCTTAAATTCATTGCATTTCAAATTCTGACACCTCGGGAGACCTTCACCTGTGTTTGAGCAGCAGGGCTCGAAGCACGTTAGCTCGGTCCTCGGCCTTGATCTGGTCAGAGATGATCATCTGCTCCACTACCTGGTGAGCGATTCCAGGCAGGGTCTTTTGGTCCAGGTCCAGCAGCACAGCCCCTGCAGAGAACACCACGGTTAGTAACGCCCAGCAGACAACTGTACACTGTGGAGCCTCCAATGCAGGAGAATGCAGCTATTGCAAGGATTCAAAAATTCAGGCATGATAGTGTAGTAAGTAGAACAGCAGGTAACATCTCCATAAATGCAATACTGAAATCTCCTGAAATTAACTGCCCAATTTAGAAGCACCAACTATAAATTTTGAACACTTGGAATTACATAGTTTAAGTGGGGCCCACATATCAACAACTATATATACAGGTGGATAGCTGCGCCAGCATGCGTAGAATGCAAAGGAACAATAGGTTTATTCCATGCTGAAAAGAGAGGAAAGAAAACACAACGTTTCAGCTGTGGAGCCTGACACCCGAAGAAGACTTTACTATATATGCAGGACGTACAATATATACAAACACATACTGTATACCGTATATAGCATCATGTTCCTCTCTGCAGGCCTGTTGCAGCCACACTGAGCACTCTCCCAAATACAATGAAAATTGCCGACAGGGCATCCACAAGACAGCTCTGTCTCATCCCACACTGCACCCCCACACCTCTGTCCTCGTCCCTCACCCTGTGCAATGGTCTTGCGCAGCTCAAGCAGGCTGCGGAAGCTGAGGGAGGCCACGTGTGGTTTCCCCCAGCGTTCCGTCTCCTCTTCCACGTCCTCCTCAAACTTGATCCAGCGAGCAGTCTCCCGCCACTGCAGCTCCTGGTTTTTATCCATGATGAGCTCATTCAGCTCTACAAACACCTGTTCCAGGAACACACAGACGCACAAAGCCACATGAGCTTAGTCTACAGGCAGTGTGGACCTGATGACAATGTTGTACAATGTCAGATTAATGCTGGTGTGAGGTTCAACTGATCAGCTCAATTGATTGCCACTCTACTTAGCCTGGGGGAGTGGGAATAAGCAGGAATGAGGAGAGGAGAGTTAAGTAAAGTTGGGTAATCTAGGGAGATGAAGGGTCAATTTTTGTAAGGAAAGGGCAGTATATGAAATCTGAATAAAATAAATCCTGCTTTTTCAGCTAATTCATCTTTAGCACCTCAATAACTCTTCATACAACATCATATCTAAAATTACCTTCATTACAACCTTAATCGGTTGAGTTGACATGGCCTTGCTTTAAAACTACAAAGTTTCTTCTGAAACCCAACATGTTTCTTTAAATATTAACCAGAATAACAAATGTCCATGCACACTATGCACACCAGCATGCACAGACCGTCTACACCTTGCTGTATTAATGCCTCTTGTATTCATGGCACGCATCATACATTTAATAGATCTAGCAATACCCGCAGGTACAGAACTATTGCCAAAGCAGTGCCTACTCCGCGCGCTCTCATGATGCACTCCCCGACGATGATGCACCATGATGGGCTCACCTTCTGGTGCTTAGCGATGCGCCCGGTGAAGTCCAGCAAAACCATGATGGACAGACGGACGCACAGGAGGACAGACAGAGGCAGATGGGAGGTGGGAGTTTATGCAGCTGGCAGCTGTGAGTTGTGCTGTGAGACCAATCTCACCCCCCCCCCCACTGTACCCCTCACTGCCAGATAGCCCTAGCCTGTAATGGGCTGAGCATGTTAATAAAACATCAGCACCTGATTGAGACTTTCAGCAGACTAGGTGTCCTGTTACCTATTTATTTCTTTTTTCCCCCTCTTGTGAAAGGAAAGAACACATTCATTCATTATTAATTGCACTCTGCACAGCACAGGGGCAGGCAGAGGGGCGCCAACAGATGCAGCGAACAAGCAGTTTATTTCTTTATTTTGGAGAAGGAGACAACAGGAAAAAGAAATCATTGAGCTCAGACACCAAAGAGGGTGTGTGTGTCGGGGGGGGGTGCCTTAACAGAAGAGGGGCTTCTTCATGAAGAACAATTCCCCCAAACCACAGCGTAAACAAAAAATAAAGAAAATCTTGGGGACAGAAGACCACTGGCACCAAGCTCCCCCTGGCGCTAACGTCATGCACTCCAGGATATTGAGCATACTGGCAGGGGGCAGTGGCCTACAGAATACCACCTGAAAATTAGCGCTTCCACGGCAGACAACTCAGCACCTTTCACCAGGATAGCATCTGGAAGCAGAGCCTTTGTTAAAGGACAGAGAATCCAGGGCCAGCAACAGGGGCAGCATGATGCAGGCAAAGGGGCCATGTCACACTGGATCAGCCTCGTGCCTGGGGTGGTTCCACAACAAATATCTGGTCTTTCCAATATGGGCATCTGTTCACTGATGTTTAATTTCTGAATACACACAGAAATCCAAAACTGATAACGTCATGCTTCCTATTAATATTGTCAAAAGATCATTGTTGTGCCCTGCTAGTTTTTAAAGGTGTCCTGTGAGAAAATCGTGTTATAGTGGAAAACACCGACCGGCTTCCTGTGCTCTTGAATCACCGTTTTAAAAACACTTGAACATTAACTGTGCAATCAGAGTGTGGGTTTAAGTCAAGTTCATGTTGCTCATGACAGGAAGCTCCCTTTTAGGCAGACACCGCCCACTATGGTAACCTCTGGCCTCTGTGCTGTTTGCTCACCTCATGGGGTGTGCGGTCAAGTTTCCGGATGCGTGTGCTGGGCTCCTTATGGTCTTTGCTGATGTGGACCACCTGACCTTTGGTGCTCTTCCTGACCAAGTGTCTCCGCACCCCTGGAACATCCTCGAACCGGTGACCTGAGAGACGGGAGAAAGAAAGAACAACCGTCAGTACAACAACCAGATGCAACTTTTATGTCTCCATTTTCTCCTCATTCTAGGCTACTGTAACAAAAAAGTAAAAAAAATCATACTGCACATATATATATATAAAAAACACAAAGCTTTTATACCTCATGATGTGGAAAAGTCTTTCAGTGGGCCACTTGGCTTTAACATCCATGAATGCAAAGTACCTGCAACTGGGGACTTCACCTGACTGATTAAATCTCAGTGTTTGGGAGTAAAAAAAAAACCTTTCGGCAAGTGATTGCTCTTCTGGTCTACATCTGTAGAACTGAGTAGCAAATTTGGCAGGACACCAGACTAAGGGGGGTTGCTGCACTGAGGAGAGACACCCCTCTTGCTGCCAGCCTCCAGACGATGAGACACAGGCAGGTTTTCCTCACCCAGGATCAAGCATGCAGCCCGGTCATGGACAGCAAAACTAAGACTAACTTAACAAAACTCACTTCTGTCTTTCACAATAACTTGTGAAAATAACTCGCCTCCTGTAGGCCCACATTTTCCCTTATTTATACCACACCTCTGCCAGCTGCCGCCTGTGAGATTCAAAGCCCTACTGTGGGAGACAGCCACCGAGAATTGTAAAACACCCAAGCAGGCTGAAGGTAAGAATTTCAGGAGGCACAGTGACTTGTCAGCTGCAGCATAGGTTGTACTCTGGAAGCCGCCTTGGTGTTATCAGTGAGACTCTAGAATTGGTCCACTAATACCCCAAATAAAAACAACCAAGCATGGTTTCTTCCTTATAAACAGGAAAAAAACAGTATATGAAACATTTCACAAAAAAGACAAAAACAGAAGTCCTTGCACACGGGTTAAATCCATAGCCAACAAGTAATCCGCAATGATGTACTGCTGCATGTGAGGTTTCAGCTATGCACAGAGTGATCCTTGCCTTCCAGGTCCCCCTCTCAACCTGCCTACCTCTGTCATTTGAATGCTGCCTTTTCCCTGCCAGGTTGTGGTGGTGGTTACAGGCTTTCATGATGTTCCAAGGACTGAAGCCACAATTAGTCCATGTGTGATGGGTGACCGGCTGGCTGGAGAGAATAGGGAAGCACCCAAGGGGGCTAGTTGTAGCTCTTTAATAGCAATGTAACACTTTCCTCCAAACGTGGATTGACAAATCCTTTCAGTGTGGAGTGCCAACATGCAGGAATAGTGAGGTACCCTTCTAGTATCAACTTAAACATCTCTTATTGACTCCAGCATGTGGATGCACCACAAAAATTGTGACTTTATAATACAGGACGCAGTGCTTTGGCTGCAACAGACCCAGAAGTCAGCAGCAAGCTCCCTGCTACCTGTATTGAGTTTAACATTTCAAACAGAGCAGTGGGGAGGGATGACACAGGCAACTCCAGACACACCTTCCTCCTGAACACAAAGATCAGAGGTGACGTAGCTGGAAATTAAGCAACAAGACACTTAAGACTTAAAATAGACATTGTCTCTTTGTACAAACACCCGTGGGCGAAAGGAAAAAATGAACCATGCCATCATGTCACTGATTCACTAGGATGGTAAAAATGAGCAGGTTTCAGATAGAGTGTAGACCAATCCACTAAGCCGTACCCAATCAGCGCCTCTGGGGTCTGTGGCCTTGTTCACAACCTCAGCGCTCTTCCAACGAGATAGAAATCCTTAAGGAACTAGAAAGTACTTCCACAGCCCATCTGTCTCCTCCAATCCTAGGGAAGCCCAGGCCCGGCACTGGCAGAATAACATTTCATAAGCCATATCCTTTAGATGTAGTAGGTGCCATCCATGCACTGACCAAGCACAGGCTCAAAAAGCTCCCCAAATCTTGAGAGGCGATTCACTGAACGCCAAGCAGGAAGCTGCCGGTGTGTCTGTCTTCTATTCCACCACGATCAGCTCTGAAGGGTAATGAGAGCAGCTGCTGGTCTCCAACCGCAGAGCGGACCCAGCCCACCTTCGCTTGTTTCCGAGCTCACGCTAGATCAGAGAGGAGGCGTTTGTGATCGCACCAAGAGCTAAAAGCAAGAGAAACCTATTAATTCCTGTTGTTGAGCAGGAGCCAGCTGCACTGCTATTTTCCCAGGCTGTTCTTCTTGCGCAAATTAATAGGAACAAAGACAAAAAAAATAAAATGCTTCTGACACTACTCCGACCCCTGCCAAACACTTAACTTAATAGTCACGAAAAAACAGTGTATTTATCAAGGAACTGCTTCCCATGACTACAACATACCACAGCACTAACGCAGTAATCTGCAATACATTTGCTTGTGATCAGGTGGTGTTTTGATGAATGATGTCTTGGGAGACCATCTCTAATAATACCATCTCCAACAAGTGGCGGACCCTGGCTGAAGCAGCACAGTGCTGAGGGCTGAGAAAGTCCACTCTGGCTCTTGCCACTTCACCTGCTGCTACTAGGAAGACAGGAAGCCATTCTGTGTAGAGACTGCTGAGGTCAAGCCCTATCCCTCCAAGGCTCAGTAGATCAGAATGGCTTTGTAGGTAAAATAAATTGATTACTTTACACGGTGAAGGAGAAGGCACTATTCCCCCATTAAACTAAGCAATTGAGAACATTCCTTTATGTTGCAATGCATGAACAGTCTCACATGGCAATGGTTAAAAATGGTTTAAACAGTTTTCAAAATGACTAAAAAAAAGTATTTAAATGCTTTCTATAACTTTTATACTTATGAGCACACTCGAGGTCATATCCCTACAGGAACAGATGCCCTAAAAAGGATAAGACGCAGTATTGTCCCATTGAGTGTGGAGGTGTTAGAAATCATGTGTGTATTAAGTGCCGAGGTGTGTCCAGCTTACCTATGCAAATACCCAGGAAGCCCCAAATTTAGTACCAAGACGGAGAGCAGAAAGGACAATGTTTGTCCCAGAAGATAAGGCTGTGCCACAGCCACAACTCTGCCAAGCCATGGCGCCACCTGAAGCACAGGTCCTCCATCACACTGGGAGAGTGGCCAGAGCCTTCAGGTCACATTCGTCTAGCAAGGCGTAATTGAATTACACTTCCCTACCCTGTTTGGCCTTTATAAGGTGATTCTAAATCCACGCCAAGAAAATCTGCGAGCAGATTTGACTCATGGAATGCACAAAGACGCTGATTTCTTACAGTCTGACTCACCAGCACGAAACACTGAATGCTACATAGGATAAGACACACTCCTCCTACCATTAAGAACACGTTCACTTTTCAAAGACAGTCAAAGTGCTCAGACTAGATCAGAGGTCAAAAACCAGAATCGTCAATCTCCACTTCTTAAGGTTCACTTCTCAAGGGTCTTTAGATTTTATTTGTATCTAAAAGCTTAGAGACAATAACTTGAACTGGAAGTTGACAATTATATTGCTTTACCTACAGTATATTCTGTATCAACTGTTTAGAATTGTATTTTAAAAGTAATTTACCCTATTCTTAACAGGATTGTGTTTTTAGTTTCAGTCAGACTCATCTGGTATTGTACAGAATATCAAACAGCCATGAAACAAAGTAAATGTATCTGCCTGAAGCTTCTTTCATTTCACAGGCTGCTCCACCGTAGCGATATTGATAGTGAAATACTATAGGATAAATCTCATATGAATGTCACTGTGTAAATGTTACTTTCAATAACACAAGGTGCTGGAAGAGCGTTTTGAAGCCACTTGAGGCTATTTTGAACATTGTGTCTTCTATATGTAATCAAATGTGCACCAATCTATGTTCATTGTATGCAACAGTACCTATGAATCACCCCCCTGCTTCACGAGACATACGAAAGATACAGTATGTTAACAATGGATGCACACTACAAAAGAGACCTTCTTGTTCCTCATTCTGCAACCATCTTGTGAGTCTGAAACCCTGTCCAAACGGGAAGTTACAGATCCCAGCACACTTTGCAGGTGCAGGGGTTTTACCCCAGTGTAGTAGCTAAAGTCAAACACATAAAATAGTTTTTTGTACAATTGTACAATTGTCAAACACATTGTAAAACTGTCCCCCTTATCCCAATTTAAAATCTGAGTCTCTCCCTCCAGGTGTCTCTTGTACAAGACAGCAGGGCTGCATAAAACTCACTCTTGATGCCATCCAGGTCGGCAGTGGCGAGCATCTGCGCCTCGCTCTCATCTGTGGGGATCCGCTGGTACTTGGCCTCCTCCATGCCGGTCATGCTGCCGATGCGCCTCCTCTCCTGCAGGTCGTAGCTGCGGGCGTTGGGCTGGGGTTTGGAGGTAGAGGTGCGGGGGGAACGCGTCTGTGGTGGACTCGTACTGCTGGTGCCACTGCCCCTCCTGTCCTCCGCTCCTCTGCAGGCGTCCGCTGGATCCCTGTGTGGGAATAAATACGCAGCCCTCAGCGCTAACCAGCAATTACAGCCACGCTGCCCACCGCCGCCACACTGTCAATGTCTGGCCCGAGACAGCCTTTAAGCAGCCCTCTGCCAGCCTGCCAGCCAGTTCAGCAGGTCCACAAATGCCATAGAACTGCCTGCCTTGACTCAGACACTGTGAGAGACCAAATCTCCACCTGTCTCTCACTGAAGTCAAACTTCTTCTTTACTAAACTTGGTCAATGTTTTCTTACCACAATCTATTGTTTTACTCAAGATTTTTTCAAGCTTGGAATACCACCAGTATTATTTGTGCTTTGCACTTTCTGAAATCCCACTATTCTTAGATTTGTAAAGCTCTAAAAAAATGTAATACTAACAGAAGACAAACTTCTCATTCTTCCATGAGAACTTTCATTCTTTCCAGTTTCAAAACAATGCCACAGGGAGACAGCCCCACTCTCATTCAGTAAAAAGGGAGAAAGGTGTTTAAACCTGCAAGATGCCTAGGTAAAAGACATTCCCCCTTGCTACTTTAATCTATAGCAGGTGCTGAACATCAGCAAGGAAAATAACTGAAAAGGCAGTAAAACCTAGCAATAGACTTAACTGTGTATACCTGAAGACAAAAACCAGAGAAGCAAATATACCTAAGCAAATCTAAGAGGTCCCCTTGGTTTAGAGGACACAATTTAACTACTACATCTTTCATTTGAACATTGCGGAGAATATATGTTCTGAATAGAAGACTGGTTTCTGTAATAGCAGGGCACAAAACCTGAACCTCAGGTCAGCTACATGGCAGTGGGTGTTGTAGCAGAGCTACTACATAGACAGGTCATGGATTATCTGCCCTCATTACGTAGTATGAGGAAAGGGTCCAACTCGTGATCCAAATGGAATGAGCAACCTACCAGCATGTCTTTCGGAGGTGGGAGGAAAACGGAGTACCAGGAGAAAACCCATACAAACGCTGGGAGAACATGCAAACTCCACACACAACCCAACATCAAACACAGGATCTTGCAGCTGTGAGCACTAACTGCCGTGCCATCAAGCTAGGATACTGGAAGACACTCTCCAAAACAAACAGATTAAATGCTGAAGTCCATTCTAGAACCAGAAACCAGTCTTTAAAAAGTTCTTTTTTTATGAAAGAACTTCACTTTCACTTCACTCTTGACTTTATTTTTCTTAGCTTGCTTTGTGCATATAAAAGGAGGGGGAGGCAGAGAGGAGAGGGTAGGCGTGTGGTCACAGAAAGACTGACAATCAGAACCGAGGAGTGAGGTCAGCTGGCCGCAGTCACAGCAAGAGAGCTCCGCTCTGTAATCATGTGGCGACGGCAGGTGCCTCATCACCCAAAGTCTTTATCCAGCTATCTTTAACTCCCCCACTGGAATGCACTCGCTTCTGGAAGGCTTTCCCAGAGAAAGCAGTGTTGACTATTCACTGAAAAATCACTAAACTTGACAATACTCTCTCCAGATCAGTCACAAGCCCAATCAAGCTGCAGATATGATTAACCGAGCAATGCTAAAAAAAACAACACTCATTCGCAGGCTTAATTAACAGCCTCTTATCTGCACAACACAAAAACATGCAAAACTGCATATACCATAATTGTTTCATTATGGGTGTTCCGACACTGATAAAAGTCCTTTTCACGTACACCAGACTCTTACAGTAGCCTGCAGATACATTTTTTCTGCAGGACCAGCACTGCCCACCCACTGTCTGAAGAGAAAGTCTGCTGTCAAGCATGCAGGGCAAGCATCTACACTTAATAATACACCAGTATATTAATACATTACACCTTCCAAAGGATCCCAAAGCTCTGCATGTACAAGATGGGTCCCGACTTCATCCGCCACTGATGTGCAGCACCACTACACAGCACATCATCTCACAAACTGTCAGAAACGACCTCGCTGATTGAATTAGGGAGGGCATTCAGGCAAGCCAGAATGTGCTCAAAGGGGAATGTAGCCAGGACTCAGGGCTAACACCCCTACCTTTTTACTCTTGAATACATCATGGGATCTTTAATGACCAAGAAGTCACAACAATGGTTTAAAGTCTTATCTAAAGGACAACATCCTTCTACAGCTGAGTCTGTCACCATACATGGGTGCTGGTTTTGGAAATTCCAGTCCAAAGGGAAGAATATCATCAGCTGGTCCACCAATCCCTAATTAGATTAGCACCTTGGCTTTCCTGCTGCTATCCCAGTACTGGCCAGCTCCAGCCTTGTTTAGCTTCTGACATCTGACAATATCAGGCTACAATGTGGTACCTACAGTATTGTAACATCTCTTGCGTGAACTGTTTGTCATGTTTCTATCGTCTGTTACTGCTTTACTCCAAGGAACTGAATAAGAGGAGCTCAATAGCACAGTGGTTATTATTGCTGTCTCGCAGTGCTGGGGCCCAAGGTTTACTTCCAGAGCTGCAGTACTTTCTGCGTGAAGTTTGTATGTTCACATGGGTTCCCTCCATGTGCTCCGGTTTGCATTACACCCTCAGTCCAAAGACATACTGGTAGGGTAACTGGCACTTGGGAAAACCGGCCCTGGTGTGAGTGTGTGTGTCTGCCTTGAGACAGACTGGCCCCCCTGTCCAGGCTGTACCTTGCCTTGTGGCCACTGCTTGCCTGGACAGGCCCCGGCTCCCCTGCGACCTTGAACGGGATGAAAATGGATGGATGGGTGGAACTGAATAACTGAACTGATTTGGCTGATTCTATTACTATAACTCTTCAGCTCCAGTTTACATTCCTCCATTTAGTCAAGAGTGCTTTTGATACTTTTACCTCTGGATGAATATGTGCTCCTTTTTTCTCCATTTTTTCTAAATCTTACCAAGGACACATCTATGATCCTACATCATCATAAAAAAAGACTCTTATGTTATACAGAAAGGTTACGTGCTCCCTTTGGGGAAATGCCAACATGTGGACATCTTGTGATGGAAAGTCAGGACTAGGAACAGGCAGGGTCACGAAACAAGATAGCTGCTAACCCCTGTGAAGCCCAGTGCAAAATCTGACAATGCCTCAGCAGAAAGAACAAAGAACAAATCCCAAGTTCTTGAATTCCAGGTATGCGATTGTCTAAATGAAACAACGAGCTGCATAATTGATTCAGAAACCAAGTTTCAGAAAAGGGAAATAAAACACAAATCTAAACAGAGTATAAAGTTTAAACTTTTCCAGTCTTTCCCAAATCAGAACTTTCAGAGCACAGCACAAACACAACCACTCACGGATGACTTCATGATTTGGCTCCGTTTAATTGCTGCCTTTCTGCAAAACGTAAGAAGCTAACCAGCAATCCTGTAACCCTTTAACCCTCCCCACTCTTCCAAGGACAGAGATGTGATTTCAGTATTGTGCCGAGAGAGAGTGAGTGCGTGGTGTCGGAACTGAGCTGAGAAAGAGTAAATTACAGCACCAACCAAACTCAAACCAAATACAAACTAGAAAAAGACTAAAGTATCGACTAAGTATCTGCCCAGGCTCAGTGACCACAGTATGGCCATAGAAACAGGGCAATACAAGAAGACTTTGCTGCCCAGAGAGAACAGGCTGTGCTCCTACTGCCATCAAGAATAAGCAAAGGCAGATGCACTTCCTGCTGCAAGACATTAACAGGGATTAGTCAAACATTCGTCCTTAAAATAAATCCACTCTTAGAACTGTCACACCTGCCAGAATCAGAACAGCTTCCAATCCTACCGCATGAGGAGAGAGGAAACCAGTACATGATCTCCTGTCACAGCCAGAGCAACAGGGAGTCAGCCTGTCAGATAATAGTTATTGCTTTGGTAACCCTGTAATTCATCGTTTCATCGGTCACGCCAATAAAGCTTGTTGACTTTGAGCACAGGGATCAGTATGGAGACAGACAAGGCGTGGGTAGAGAATTTTGAGGAATAAAGTGTGGGGAGCAGTGCTCACTCTGTTGATGTGGCATCCTCAGGGTGAGTGCCCGTCTCGTCCAAGGCAGAGATGGGTACAATCTCCAGCTTCCGGGGGGGTGCCAGGCCCATCTTCCTGGGCGTGGAGTCAGATTGGAGGGTGTCATCCTCTGAAAGAAAGAACTAAAGAGGAACCCGCACATCAGTGAAGGACACGGCAAAGCCACATTACGTGTGTGCGCAGGCCGAGAAGCAGACAGTGTCTGGGTGCGTTTAAAGATGCCTGAGTTCAGAAAGGACACCAAGAATAAGACTCACTGCACTCCACTTACTGTGGATGGTGGCAATTGACACCAATGCATGATCCTTATCACACTTTTGTTTTAAATACCAAATTGCATAAGCACCCGCAACCTGTTTTTACTGCACATACTTAAAAGCACTTCTAAACTGCTTGCTATTTTAAGAATCAAATATTTTGATTCCTAGTAGCTCTGGAGCCCTGGGCTCAACTCCTGGGGTGCTATCTGTATGGAGTCTGTTTTCTCCCTGTGATCACATGGATTTCCTCCCATAGTCCTAAAAACATTTTAGTAGATTAAATGGCTTCTGTAAAATTGGCCCTGATGTGACTGTGTGTGTTTCTGTATGTTCCCTGCAATGGACTGGTGTCCCATCCAGTGTGTAACTTGCCTAACACCCAGTGTTTGCTGGAATAGCCTCCAGCTACCCACCCGTCATCCTCTACTTGATAAGCAGGTTAGAAAACGGATGGATGGATACTTGAATGGATTATTTTAAAAACTGAATATCTGACTAGCTGTAAGCAAATGTTGAATTCTCCAAACAAACACCTTTATAAGTGAAATATATTGAATGTCAGTATGAAGTGCAGATAAAAAAACCTTAAATATGTTAATTAAATAAGTATTCACCCTCTTCAGTTTTGGAAGTTTAAATCACTTTAAGTGCACACAAACTTTGTCAAGTCACACAATTAGCTGACCAGTATTTAATAAAAATTGTGGCTCTCATGATTTTAGAAAAATACATCTGTACCTGTTAGACTGCTGAATATCCTTTCAGCCCTTAAAAGTATTCTGTTTGAATTTTGATTAAAAATAATTCCTTTCTTTTGTAATTCTACGAAGCAGGGCATTATTGGAATCACAGGGTGAACACTTTTGTGAGACACTGTACTGCAGGATGCTGGACTGGACTGGCCAGGGCTAAGCAGGTGTGCGTCAGTGCACTGTACAATACCTAAGCTCCTCGACTCCGTCACTGTGGATCCTCTAGCAGACTCACAAGGCATTACCGTACCAGACTCCCCTGCAGGCTGACTGGCAAGCTGAGTTCAGAGCTGTATTGTGTGGCTGCTGGATACATGTCTGGACAGTGGTAAACACCTGCGACTGCCGGACAAGGAGCTACAGGAGCCAGGCTGGCTGAGCGTTAAGGGCAGAGCGTCTGTATGCACCTGAACTGCCTCCTCCAGTGGCTGAGGCTCAGTATCTGTGTCAGGAGTGGGTTTCTCTCCATCCACGGGGCTGCTGGGCTCCTCCTCGTCGTCGTCCTCCTCCTCCTCCTCCTCTCCCTCCTCGATGGTGGGAGCGCTGCCCCCTGCAGCCGGCCGCTTCCGGCTACCACCCTTCCTCCTCTTCCCACTCTTCTTCTTCCGCCCGTCGGAGGACAGGTGTGTGGACAGGGGGTGGTGGATGTGGTGAGAGGAATGGCGGTGGTCTGGAGTGCGGGACAGGGGGAGAGTGTCTCAGCAGACAAGAGAGACTTCAGATTTAACAAGATCAGCCCTCTCCTCACCCCTTGCAGGAATTATGGAATCCAGAACAAGCCTTCTGGAATGGGAGTTTACCACTAATCCTAGTTATACAAATGAACCAACTATTTTTGTAACTGATAAAATAAAGCATTTGTATTCAGCTGTATTACTTCACCTTTTACCAGTTTACCAGTTACAAAAATAGTAGGAAAAAAACTGGTAGGAATGTGGCCCACAAGGGTCATGCCAACTCAATGTCATATTCTATTACATATAATTTATATACTTTATAAAATGCCACACTTGTGATCCGTGTCTGAGCACATGGTTGTATGGGGTCATATATCAACAAGAGCCGACCTGTCAGAGTGGCACCTGAAATAGATGCGTTGCTGCCACCTACAGTTCAAACGTGAAAAAGCACTTCCGGCGCACTCAGCCAGCGCAGACTATTTTTGAGAACAGTGAAAATCCACACTGTGGCCAATGTGCCCCTGCAGGCCTGTCAGAGAGCAGACTCACACTCAAAGTCCTCCTCGTTGTAGCTGCGGTGCAGGTCTTCGGGGGCGCGGGGGGCGAGGTGCAGGATCTCCTCAAATCGCTCCACTCCCAGGGCCTTGTTCAGGTCAGCCTCCTCCTCCTCCGGCCGGGGACTCCGCGGGGACGCTGCATCCGGCTCCGGCTGGGCAGGAAAGAGGAGGGGGACAGTGAGCAGGACCACTGACTGGCGCACAGAAGGAGAGAGCCGAACCCCCAGCACGCAGGACACAAGGCTCTGCTCACAGCAGCACAGAGCCCTGCAGGACGGCAACCCCAGGCCAGGGAGGAGGGCACACGGGTCCCGTCTGTGCCAAGCCTGGGCCTTTATCACCACGGCTTCTCTGAACCCCAAGACAGACTGCTCTCTCCAGGCTCCCCATGTGAAAATGAAGGGCGCCTAGATGATGCGACTGAGATGACGGAAGCCAGCTTTTTCTCTTCTTGGTTGGCATTATGTGAGAAAGCGAAAACGCTCTTCTGGAGCTGCAAATGTAAAAGAAGCTCGAAGTAAAAGATGATGCTGTGCATGAACACAAGGGGGCAACCCTGACATTTGTAAATGCTGTGTTACTCTTTGAAATAGGAGCCAGATGCTGCAATGAAAAGCTGTTCTCTACTTCAGAGTGAGATTATGTAGTTTCTAATCAATCTGTGGACTCTATAATAAGATTTTCATCATGTGTAGAATGATGAGTAATAGAGCCTCCTGTGTTACAGCTTCATCTTTGCAGAACTAACTGTCCCATATCATTAGAGACAGCATTTGCAAAAAGATCTTCTTGCTGCACCTTCCAATAGACAAATTTGTTTTACTCTTGGTTTTAGTCATTTTAGTGCTTTTGTTTTATCTATGCTGAATGAAAGTACTATTACATAGCTCCTTGATGTTTTGAGAAAAAACACACTGATAAAATGTATTACCACCTTTGCAGTGTCTGCAATGGCAGCTCTGTAACAAAGTCACTTCTGTGTTTGTAACACTTATCACTGCATTGAAGAGGTCCACTATTTCAAGCCGACAAGGGCAGCTGTGAGCTGTGCACACCAGTCAAGATTTCTTAAATGGAGCTTATTTAGTCATTCATGTTTCTTCCTAAGAAGCTGTGATAAGGGTGAACAGCAGCAAGGAAAAGATGTTTAGATTCTTCATTTTCAGGACAATTGTTATGCTTCAATTCAGAGGGAAATTTCAGAAAAGATACCTGTTGTTTCACTTCTCTCAGAGAGAGCACAAGTCCCGTGTAAGAGGATTTTAATACCACTTTTAAAAGGAACTTTGTAAGGAGAAATCAGGGGAATAAAAAAAAAAAATCAGAAATGAAGACTGGAAGCACCTGTTAGATAGCAAAGAGAACCCTCTCCTGTTTATATGAAGGTGGGGCTGTAGGGCTGTAGGAATCATTCTAGTTGTATGATTATTTCAGCAGGTCTTGGATAGAAGCTTAGGGGAATTCAATTGGGGTTAAAAAAATAAAAAATAAAGAACCAGGATGAAATGCTGTCAAAGTCATATAGTCTACTCAAGAGTAGTACTTGTTCTCTTTACAGATAATGAAGATGAGCACAAGTGATCTCAGTTACCCATACAGTCTACCTAACGCTCCAGACAGATTAAAAGACCAAAAGAATATCACTTCATTTTCTAAACCCATTTCAAATAATTAAACTAATAAGTGGTGGGTAGAATGGTCAGGCCCTTCTGTCCCTTGCACAGACAGAAAGGACTTCTAGAAAGTAATGAATTCTACATAGGCCAAGCTACAGTGAGTCCTCAGCACTGACACTCTCCCCCTTATTGTAGCAGCTGCTCAAGTGCAAGCCTGCCAACAAGTAGCACACTGTTGTCTGTAAGGATACTTCCTTAACTCTTTGCATTCTGGCATTTACACAAATTGGAATAAAACTAAATTTGTAATGCTTTCTCTTGATGCATTACTTGTACTTTCTTACAGGTCCACAAAAGGAGAGGAGGCATGATTCATTTCAGGAGTATAAGGATATAAGGCTAACCATATTACAGAATACCACTGCTGTACATTTTTTAATAGAAACATTTCTACAGCAAATCCATCTCTACAGCAAAGGGAGAAACTGAATGACCTAGATCCCAATGACAACCTGTTCACTGCCCATTAAATTCCGATGAGTTGAATCCAGCTCTTCTAGATTCTTTGTACAAGCCCTGACGTTGCACAAGGCATGCGGCTTGAGGTCATTTACACCAGGGCCTCTCATCCTGGTCCTGGAGGGGCGCACACCTGCTGGTTTTCATTGCAGCTTATAGCTTATCTTTATTCAAAGCCTTAATTAAACTAAGAAACTGCTCGACTGGAATATGTGCACGTATATTTTACAACTCAGGAGTTTGTGATATTGTTACTTATGAATTGCGAGAGTTAAAGGGCACCCTCCAACTTGCTTAAGAGCTGAAAACTCTCCAGTGAAGCATTTTGAGTCCTACACTAAACTCTGTCTACTGTATCCCAGCTCCCGAGATCTTGGGGAGATCAGCTGGGGATCCCTCCACCCCCAGGCAGGACTGTGGGTCCATACTGGCACAGACACTGCATCTGAAGGGCAGCAGGTAATGACAGCAACGTGTTTGCTTGCTGCCGTCGGCACAGTAACTGTAAACCCACTAAAAGCTAAATCCCACTGGGAGAAAATATATCACCAACCCAGATAGCTATGAAAGACTACGAAAAAAAATGCAATATTAAAGTAACCTGTGGACATTCTCCAGCAAGAGTGTCCAGCCCCGTCACTGGAGAGCTCATGGGTCACAATAATATTCTTTCTTTGTAGAATAGGTTGTTAAATTTTTATTAACTAAGACACTCCCTCATAAACTCAATTAAGAGAACTCCAGTCCTTGAGGGCTGAAGCGTCATCAGATTTAGATTCCGAATGATCTTTTCTTAAAAAATAACCAGTGCACCTGATCACAGGTACAGTAAGTTGTTGCAGGTCTTTAGAAACTGGTGATTTTCAAGGTGACCTACAGTATAAATATGTCAGCTCTTGTGGTCTACAGCACAAAAGAAAGGTTACCCAGGCCCAAGCTGCTTGTGACCAGAACAAGCATCGCCAGAAGAAACACTGCAGCTGAAAGCAATCTGGTCAATATCTTTTCTTAAAAGATACCACTTTACATTATCTAAAGAGAGCTCTCTATTACCCTGCATACACCTGGTCTACATGGAAACAAATCAGCAGCTTAAGAGATTTACACAGCAATATGAAATTGTTGATTAAATATTGACCCCAGATGAAACTGCTGCCTTCCCATCTCGCAGCCTTCTGATATCGACAAACAGTTAATAGTGTCCTAATCCTCATGCAATCAAGAGCTCAAGAGCTCCTCTAACAAACATCCAAGACCTGATTTCAAAGGGAGGACAAAAGACAGAACCTTCATTTATTCATAAATGGTTTTCTTTTTTTTGGCAATGAGACCTCTATTTTTTTATTTCTTTCCTTTTCAGGTGTATTATCACTCCATAATGTTTTACTGCAAAAAGACCCATGGTCAGTTTCGGGTTTTCTTTGCAATTTTACTCAGTTTCTATAGATAAAAAAAAAATCTCAGTTTCCAAGCCACGCAGGAGCCCCAGGAATCAGATCTTAAAGTTTATGCACACCAATGCGTTAAAAATTCCTCTGATCTCTTATGCTGTACCTGCTCCAACTGGGCATGAGACGATGCTGGAAACCAACTGCCACCAACTTGATTCAATTTGAATTCCCTTGCACAGTTCTCTTACCAAAAATGGAAATGCCCCAAGTGAGGTCAAAGTCAAAACTACAAATCTTTGGTAAGAAACTGTTTGAGTACTTTTTCACATTAAGTGTAAGAGCCAGCAGTTCACAAGGATGAATTCTTTCGATGCTGTAAAAGTCAGGGGTGCACTGTTAAAGCTTGACAGCCCAAAAGGCAGTACAGCTAAAATCGGGAGAGTTAACATTGTGTGGAGGGAGCTGTTCTTCACGATAAAAAGTTCTGTCAGCAGGTAAGACCCAAAACAGACTCCAGCTATAGTACCAGGGCTTCGCCAGAAGGAAACATCTGCAGATGGGAAGAGAAGAAGACGACAATGGCCTGGCACCAGTAGCGTCCCGAGAGAGTCCAGAGCTTCCTCCCCAGGATCCGAAACCCCGACTCAGGGGCTCATCAACCAGAAATCCAGTATACAGGATCCAAAGGAGTGAAGACAGAACATCTTGCTCTTCGGGCAGCTAGTGCTGCTGATCCTAGTAACCTCAGCTTTTTCCTGAATGATCCTCGTGAGCCAGTACCCACAGCAACAATTCAGTACAGTTAATTCCTGAACAGAGGATTTTTTGAAGGGCAATAACAAGACTCTTGAACCAGATCCTTGGAGCAACGCACTTCCTTTCCAACTTCTGATTTCAAGATTTAAATGGAGAGCAACTTACCTGGCTCATTGCAAATGGACAGCAGTCAAGTGGATTGAACAGTGCTGCCACCGTGGTTAGCACAGTGCCTGTGTGTCTCCCAGTGCCCTACCTGGGGCTTTTCAACACCAAACACACAGCTCTCCTTGACAGCAGACCTGCAGTGAGTCCCGTGATGCTTTAATCAGCTCACTATCTCCGGGCCCTGCGTGTTCATGGACCTCAGCACTGATTACAAACTCAGATAAACTCCATTTTTTTCTTGCGATCTCCAGGTCCCTCTTTTTGTAAACGTTAAGGACAAACGTATTTAACCTGACTAACAATAGATCCCATTCATCACAGCACTTTGACTTCCCCTTGTGAATATTGACTGAAGTGATTTTTCTCTCCTCACTCTCCCTGCCAGTGCCCTACAGCCAGCACTCCCACTGAAACACAACATATTCTCCCTGGCTATGGGACCAAACAAGGGAGAAAGAGTCTTAAACCTTGCTAGTGAGTCTAATGTTTAAAAAGTCAGTAGTAACTGAATGTTTACAAAGTGTAATTAGATAAAGAAAAATTGCTGCTCTTCTCGGTCCAAGATAGCTTGGATAATGGGGAAAAAAAAGTGATCTTTTTTTTGCAGTCTTCACACCCAGAAATTTCAATCGCTTCTAAGGTATTAACCAATCCAGCTGGCTGTTGCTATAGTTAGGAATACGTCCCAGAGGAGGGCAATCC